AATACATCAATGAAATTACTTGACTATATACAATGAAATTATGTTATACACTGCTATGAATAAATAATTTACGATGTACATTTTGAGTGCAGTAAAGTGTCTAGTAGATATACATAAGGTGTTTCTTTAAATTCCATGTGAAGTGGCAGAAAGTCATTATGATGCTTTGCCAAGTATCGTAATCAAGTTCGTTAGTCAAGTCATGGACATCTGCACCGAGAAAGAATGAAAGCATATCATCATCGTCAAGCATATATATTTTCACGTATACATCTACATCAAGTTTATCAATCAGGTATGAGAAGAAATTATTTCTGTCAGGCATTAACATTTCACAGTGCAAAAAAATATGGCAATCATAGTCATAGCAATGTCTATTGTAATGGTTACATTCTTTCGACACTTATGCTCTTGATCCGATTTTAATACAAAGTTGCAGGGGTTGTCTTAGATGTGGATAGAGATATATTACATTATAAAGAACATGCATTTGTAACCGTTTATGAATTTTATGGTATCGTGAAAGATCCGGTCTCTGTGCTAGTCTCTCTCTCCAGATGTACTGTTCATTCTCTGAAAGACGTCTGATTACAAGAGCTCACCAAGCCGATTTTGTTGGGAACGAACCGCTATCAGTATATCCATTTATATAGTTATCCAAATGGTATTTTTTTAGCAGTATATAGAAGGATGTTGCATATGCTTACTGGACGGCTAATATAGACAAAAGCGTTGGTAGCAATGTGAGCACAAATTAGGTCTTTTGTTTTTGAGTTAATTACGTGCACTGGTCACCTGTGAGATCACTGTTAGATTCATTTGGTGCCTGCAGACTTGGGGTGAACGTTACGCCATCTGCATCCGTGCCCCCAATGCGGAGTATGCAGGGAGAAAATGCTCGGGCAAGGGTCTTTAACTGTGGCGACCTGAATGTCAAAATGGAATCTGTAGTAGAAACACATCAGGTCATCAATATAAACAAATGCCTGAAAGCATGTCACACTTACACTACCCATCCCAATCCGGCAACAACGGTAACATATACGTGTACGCACGTAGCGTTTATCACAAAATAACAATTATGTCCTCTGAATCAGTTTGGTTAAACTCCGATTTGAAAAGTAGTTCAGTGATATCAAGGCGCCACTGCTTGTTGTAATTATCTTACCTAAAATCAACACCAGTTTGTTGGAATCCATTCCGAATCAGGATGGCATCAAATGTGACACCAACAAACCTGTCGTCTATTGTATGAAGGACCGAATCGGTGTGGATTTCAACAGACACAGACGTCGTTTCACAGACAGCAGACAAGGCGTAGAGACTGAGCGTCGCCAGTAGCAACATGACTACTGCAGCCATTGTTTGGCTGGAACACGAGATAAGACAGAACCGCACGACGAGGTCAGAGGCCGTGTTCCTATACTTCTGGATTACCAGACTGCCAGCTGACATTACGAATTGTATTATCTTATACGCTAATAATTCACAAAAATCAGTTTTCCTACTCACTTATTACCTGTTTTGAAGTTCAGTAATATTATGATTTTGTGTTTATTCCGTCACACTCCATTGTTCCCGATTTCTGTGTGGTAAATTGCCCATCACAATTAATAGGTTTCATTTGACATTGGACAAATATTGGTAAAGCTAGGAAATAAATGTGTTGGAAATAAATATATGTTATCTCCACAGTCGAACTATTCCTTCCTTTGCTCTTTGACACTTTGGGGTCACATATCAAAGGAAAGCTTGTCATTAACATTAACGGGGGCACGGGTGGCCCAGTCGTCTAAGGCGCCGCAAGTCGCTGTGCAGAGATGCACGCCAGAAACCTATAATTGTGGGGGGCGGTCGGGTAGCCTAGTGGTTAAAGCATTAGCTCGTCACGCCGAAGACCCAGGTTCGATTTCCGACATGGGTACAATGTGTTAAGCCCATTTGTGGTGTCCCCCGCCGTGATATTGCTGGAATATTGCTAAAAGCGGCGTAAAACCTCACTCACTCACTATAATTGTGGGTTCGAATCCCGGTTCGCCCCGATTATGTTTCTAGGTTTGTCAGCATCATACCAATGCTTATGGGTTTCACCGAAGTGGTAAACGTCTGAGACCTGCATCACTTGGGGCTTTCCTCCCACATTAAGCTGACACGCCGTGATATAACTGATATACTGTTAAAAGCGGCGTTAAACCCAACTAACTCACTCACTAGAAACCCGGTTGGTTGGCCTGTCTCTACAGATATCATGACGTCATACACGTCACTTGCTTGTCAAATTACAACTGACACTCTTCATACTATGAGTAGCATATATAAATGGTGAATATGATGGTAGTTGCACGATAGATCTTATTTTGACACACAAATATTTCACCGTCGGGTTTTGATGCTAAATACTCAGGCAGGGCTGAGACCTAGATTGTACGATCTCAAATATTATCCAATTAATTAATGTACTATTTCACAAACGTTCTAATTTTTTTACCAATCAAACTCTCTATTGGAGGATGGTGAGTGAGTGAGTGAGTATGGTTTTACGCCGCTTTTAGCAATATTCCAGCAATATCACGGCGGGGGACACCAGAAATGGGCTTCACACATTGTACCCATGTCGGGAATCGAACCCATGTTTGATTAAATTCACAAGTTTTAATCCGTGAAAATAACAACAGTTAAGCAGATTAAGAATCAAAGGATATCGCACTGGGACGTGTAAATAGTCTGGGTCAACAGGTCGACGTCCGGCGAATGCCCCGTTTAGATGCGGTTTCGCGTCTATACATATATCATGAGGCGGATAATTCATTTTTAAATGGTTCTGTAGATTATTAGTGAGTTATTTATTATAATCACATTATAACAAGTAAAACGTAATTATACTAATGTTTGTCATTCTCTCTGCAGACAAGAGTCACAGGAAAGCTCGTGGGTTCATTATTTTAAATCGTAGGCTAATTAATAATTATATAACTTTTATTCTTAGCTTTCATAAGAAAACACAAACCTAAATTCAACTTGACACATGTTTTTACATAATTGTTAAACTTCCTCCTACAGACATATTGTTAGTTATTAATTAATTCAACGCAGATCTGCACCCCCAATGCATGTCTTAACAGACAACTAAAATAGCAACTCTGACATATTAAATATCGTGCTATCTGCTTTGTAATTTAATACCAACTCGACGATAAAATGTTCACATGGATTTATCTCAAACGTTGCATAAAGCCATCCAACTGTGCTGTAGATTGAAGCCGATGTATCTGCAGAGAGAAGATGCTTGTGTGCTTCGTGACTGCAATATGAAAAGACGAGTGTTGTCATTATATTATTAAGTGAACCTTTACGCACTTCCTTTTTCTACATCTCAACCAATGAGAATCGTTCAGCCATTTTCAACAGGATGTATAAAGGATACACACGGTATTATATACTTGTGTGCTATTAATACGTTCTTTTGAAATCCGTGTCCTTGCGTCATTTCATGTTCAACAGGTTGTGTGGAGACTATTAACTGCGTCACGATTCTTTTCCTACAAGTACTGCCATCCACCAGTGGATACACATATGCCTTTACGACATCGAAGCATCACATCTATTTGGACAATGGCAGCTGCGTTGAGTCTCCTGGTGCTGATCTTGTCTGTGGGGCTGGTCACAAGCTCTGTGCTGCCTGATAATGTGGAACAAGTTGCACAGAGCCATCATCGAGGTGAGTCAAATGATCCAGATACGACGCCCTTCAGCGCGGTTAAATCTACAAGTAACCCAGTTCTATACTGAAAACACATTGTGTTTATGATGATAACATGAAACCTGAACTCTTTGGTATTATCGGGGGCACGGTAGGCCCAGTCGTCTAAGGCGCCGCGATTCGCTGTGCAGAGTTGCGTCCCTTGGGCACGCCAGAAACCTATGATTGTGGGTTCGAATCCCGGTTCGCCCCGATTATGTTTCTAGGTTTGTCAGCACCATACCCGTGCTCGTGGGTTTCACCGAAGTGGTAAACGTCTGAGACCTGCATCACTTCGGGCTTTCCTCCCACATTAAGCTGATACGCCGCGATAAGACTGGAATACTGTTAAAAGCGGCGTTAGGCCAAACTCACTCACTCACTTTGGTATTATCAATGATATGAGTGAATGGGTTGTGTTCAATGTTGAAGTTGGCTGTTGCTCTGAATTAATGAACCACCGACAATAGACTTTAGACAAAGTACGAAGCTGTATGCATTCGAATTTAGATGTAAAAATCTAACACTGAGAGTGTGCAGCACAGCTACTTCATAAGCTAACATAAAGTGTACACCCAGCAAGTAGACAATATATGGTGCGGTATCTGCTCAAACACAGCGTTTCTTAAATCTTGACGCTTTATTCGCATATGTGATTCGCAAAAGACACGAGTCACAGTCGGAGGTAGATTTTTTCATCCCAAACTGGCTCCCACAGGAGATATTGCTTGGGTGAGATCAAGCGATATCTACACTGTAGATGTCGCTAAATGAAATTGCATCACAATGCTTTGTAGACAATGGTAAGGTCATTGGTTACCATGACGTCACAATCACATGACATCACCAATGGCTCTGCTACTGAAGCTGCTAGCAGTACGTTTTACAATGAACACTCAACTGTTTACAAACTGTAAAAGTTGGAAGAATGATGTTGGATGATAAATAAAAACTCACCCTTATGTCTTTTGATATCAAATATATCAACACTCATTGATATGTTTGATATCAAAAGACCTTCGGGTGAGATTGGTGTGTGTGTGTGTGTGTGGGGGGGGGGGTGGGGGGGGGGGGGGGGGGCGTGGGGGTGTGTGTTGGAGTGTGCAGTTTGAAACATGTAATTTGGCATAATTGATAAATACATAAATGCTACTGAGCTCATGCTGAAAACAAGGGGACTTCAGCCCATTCAGCAGAAACCTCTTTTCCATTGGGCGTGAAAGGCAACAAACTAGCGGTGAACATTATATGTTGACAGCAGGTGTTCGCGAAAAGGGTACGCATACCTTGCTCCACCAGTAGCACCAGCCACTCAAATAATTTGCATAAAAAATAAGTGTATGTTTGTTGCCTGAGGCAGAAATCCTGCCATTCGAAAGCAGCCTGCACACAATCGAATTTTGACCAGGCAGTCCAGTGATAGTGATTAGACGATCTAATGACACGCTACCACGTTGGCTGATTTTATTAAAACGAAACACCAAAATATGTTAGTTTCGAATCACGTTTGCTGCGTACAAATGCAGAGATTCTACTACTTAGAAAAGAGAGACACATTTAAGAAATATATTCGTTTTGCAACAAAGGTTTCAATAACTCAGCTTGCCTTAAAACTTGAAATACACTCTCTTTGTCGATTTCTACGATATTTTCTGACCAAAGCATTTGCTATTAATATTAGCTTCCGGTGTGATGCGGTCATCAAATCAGCTGTAACAATTATAAGTGTTTATTTTTATTTGAAACCCCTGATTGATCAGTCAGAATCATGTGTTTTCCAACTCCATGGTAAGCTTTGTACCAGACCCCAAAAATTGTACAATTTTAACTTCTTTGGTAACATGATTACACGATACGTGGTTCCACTGGACACGGGGCACAATTATCTCAGAACAAATTATAAATCATCTAGTATCGGCTTAAATCGGAGGTATATCGTTAATAAAAAAATGCAATACATTATTTAGGCTGTAGAAAACAAATAGGTAACAAACGGGTTGGAATTATGTTTACGTGGGTTAGTGTTGGGTGTGTTCCTACATGTAGTTAAAACCAGAATACTCCCAAAATATATTTTCGTTCAATATCTTTTAATAACTTCATTATGTTTTACAGATACACGCAGCCCCGTGGTACCCTGTGGATTACTGCGCTGGTATTGTGTTTGGTTACAAAGATTTCGCCTTACCTGGACAACGTTTTACAAGAACAACTGCTATTCGAGGTGTCAGGTGGATAACGACACAAACACCGAGTTCAGCTGTGTTGGGGGCAAAGACTGTGAGCGGTCAACATTCACACGTATGTCATAATGTTTCGCAGGTCTCGCTCCCTGCAGTGAGACAAAACACCAAAGAAGAAAACATGAAATATATGAGTTCTTCCCTACCTGCATCTATTAAACAGGCGACGTCAAACGGCACTGTCCCCATACAACTGGCTCCAGATATGTTTGTGCAGTTCACTCAAACATATATGTTTTCACTGTGCCTGAAGATCTTTTGGAACAGTTGGCTCATACTCTGTGTTTATACAGCTGGCGCATGGTCTGTGTTTGTTCTGTTGACTCCAGTTCAGCGTTTGTGCAGATGGTTCACTATTTGTGTCTGTACAACTGGCTATGGATCTGTGTTTGTATGGTGTACGTGTCCAATAA